AAACTCTAACATCACTGGAAGCAGGATCTAGCTATAAGTTATCTTATAATTTCTTCTTCCTCTCTGGCTTTAACTGCATGAATTTTTAAAAACATAATTGGTAACAATAATTAAAAACCCATAACATAAAAACAAATACATGATAAATATTTAGACTATCTAAAGTGCATTTAAGATTTGCAACTTTTCTCAGCCCTTCCCTTTTCAAATTTTGTTTAGACAGCACAGCACATGATTGTTTGCCAAATGTTTAAATTATGACACCCAACAATCTAAAAGGATCTAAAAAATACCAACTTTAACCCAAGTTTCACACACACTTGAATTTCATTTTGTATGTAATTGAAAAAAATAGTTAAGCATGCCTGAGGAAAGCAAAAGTGGTGGAGACAAGTGCTCTGGCAATTTCAGAACAGCTTTTCATTTGTATGTTATCATTCTTCTTGCAGGATCCTAAAACTCCCTCCGATATTTATATGCTCAGATATTAAAAACATATCTTTGGTACCCACCAGTCCCTGGTATGGAGAATCCGATATTGGCCCCGATATCTCTCATTACCAACATCACCATCATCACCACCATCTTTGCCATCATTACTTAAAACAAGGTTGAAATTGCTTGAATCGTCAACATTTTTGCTAAAAGAAGTGTCTGAAATTTCTTCTTGATCAAGGGGCCAAAGAGCTGCATGTGGCTCGTGAGCCGTGGTTTGCTGACCACTGCTCTAGTAGATAGCAACCTCAAGTACTACGCCATGGAGTAGAGAGGTTCTACCATCACTAATGTTTCTTACTCAGAATCTCAGCTAGTTCATCTTAATCTACAAAAAGGAAAACAAAAGCAAGAATAAGTCAAATGGAGAGAGAGTAGTATTAAGGATTTTCAATGTTATTGATATCCCCATGTCCATAATAATGTACCCAATATAGATCATTGGCTACAGAGTGCTACCCAGTGGAACTTCTGCAATGAAAGAAATGTTCTCTATCCTACACTGTCCAGTGTGGTCTGACAACCGGTAATAATGGACAAACTGAAAAACCAAGTCCCAAGGTAGGCAGACACTACTCGCATGGTTATTCTAAGAGAAACTAGAAGTTTGAATGCTACATGTTCCCTCATAGTTAACTTCCGGCAACTGTAGGCAGCCCTCATCTCACACGATTCCAACATGCACGCATTCCACTGTCCACAGTTTAGTTAAATAACATCAGTTCCCACACATAGAGTTGAAATGTCAGTCACTGTGGTTTATTACCTTGGAGCCAATGCATACAGTACTAATCCACCAGGAGGGCCCCAGTCCACAAGTCACTATGTGCCCAGTGATCAGTGACCAGTGACCAAGCCTGCCACTTCCCTTAACTCTGTCAGTGATTGGTCCCTGTCTCTGTCACTCGGTCACACACAGCCCGCAAGCCTCCTGGTCTTCCCCTGATGAGCCCCAATGACACTTTACAACAATGGCCGACAAATATGAAAGTGAGACAGAAACAAAGAGCAGTGATGCTGGACTTGACATGAAAATCAAATGTAGATGCAGTGATAGGAGAAATAGCTGTGCAGACAGGAACTCAGTGAAGGCAAACTTATCAGCACACGTGCAGGACGTGGTTATGCTGAAAAGGAGGAAGATGCACAGAGGATGTGATGCCAGTAAACAAATTCACATGGTCAAAAACTTCACCATATTTCACTACATCGAAGCACAAAGGATAAAACGTTGCAAACTGATGCAGACTCAGAAAGGAGTATGAGAATTTGCCGAAGCACAGAAAAGATGCTCTCTCTATTTTAAATTGTGCGACCACAAAAAGCAGGCAAGCACTCTTCGAACTATTCTTGATAAATGTTTTCCAAAGAAAATAAGCACTTTAATGCTCAATGTTTCTAATGTTTTAACTTACTGTGTACTGAATAAGTATTAGTCTTAATATTTTTATTTTCCAATATGCTTTAACAAACAAGAGTTTTAGGTGTTTTAACAAAAATTTTAATGGTCATGGAACAATCATAATTCTCCCCATGGATAATTGTAATTGCTTTGCATGGTTTCAGATACACACTGTTTATCAGCCCCACACTGCTGTACACAGTGAACATGCCTGTACTCATATCCTGGACAGGACAGATAGAAGGTATGACTAATGGGTACAGATTAAAACCTGGGCCAGGAACTAGTGTCATACTCTACGTCAGTGGTTCTCAACCTTCCTAATGCCGCGACCCTTTAATACAGATCCTCATGTTGTAGTGACCCCCAACCATAAAATTATTTCCGTTGCTACTTCATAACTGTAATGTTGCTATTGTTATGAATCGTAATGTAAATATCTGATATGCAGGATGGTCTTAGGCGACCCCTGTGAAAGGGTCGTTCGACCCCCAAAGGGGTCGCAACCCACAGGTTGAGAACCGCTGCTCTATGTGCATCCCAACGACAGCAGGAGAAAGTGTGCTGAAGAAATCAGAGTTTGTAAATGACTTTGGAAAGATGTATTTATCCAATACTCTGTCCAGGAAGGTTATGTGCTTCTGAGTTCTCCCAACAGACTGTCTGGCAAAAATAAAGTTGAGAATTTATTTTTTCCACCCCAAATAGCTTAGTTGAGAACTGCATGTTACAAAACCTCCTGTGACCCCTGAATCCATCATTAAATCTGGCTGTTAAGCATTAAGCTTTATCTGCCAAATGTTCCCCTGTACATAACTATATGAAGGGAGGAGGTTACAGAATGAGTGGCCTCAACACCATGGATGGCTTCCATTTAATGTGGATGATGAACAAATAGCAAAAATCCTGCCAAAACCCTTGTTTTGAGGCAACAAAGGGGATGCAGATGTAGCTGTGTCCTTCCCCTCACGATGTTTTACCGCAGGCACTTTCTATAGTGCATTACCTGCCACCAGTCTGTTACCAGAGGGTAGGAGTTGGGGGGCATGAAGAGGGGGAAGGGGATCAAATTTATATGGTGATGGAAGGACACTAGACTTTGGGTGGTAAGCACACAGTGGCGTACACAGATGTTGTACTATAAAGTTGTGTATCAGAAACATATATAATTGCTACTTACCAATGTTATCCTAAGAAATTTAATTAAAAGAAAAAGAAAGAGAGCCCATCTCATTCGTCCTTAAATTCAAAGGACTGCTCTCGAAGGCCTGGCTAGGTTTTAGTTCAAATGTCACCTCTTAGGGGACATGCCTGCTCCATCTAAAGCACCCCTTCTTCCATAACTACTCTCGCATTTGTATTCTTCAGAACCTCTTCAAATCCTGGAACTACAGTAGTCATGTATGTTTTCTTATTTCCTAACTAGCATGTAAACTGAAATGAGAATAGAAGTCAGACATGTGCAGTTTTCCGAGGTATTCTAGTGCCCTGTACAGTTCCTGGACATAAAGAACTGTCTAAACTCTGAATAAATGGGTAGGTACACGGTTTGAATAAATATCTATTTGTGTGAATGACTATTTGAATGGATGGCTGTTGAAATGGATCACTAATTAAAAAATTAGATTGAACTATTATTTTAATAAGTAGAAGGAGAAGAAACATAACTTTTTCTCTTAAATCAGTGGTTCCCAACCTTTTTTTGGCCATGCCCCACCTAAGCATCTCTTAAATCCTGATGCCCCCCTCTGTGACATATAGTTCTTATTATTCAAAAAGTGGACTCCTATTCACATGGAAGAAGCCTACATGGCCATTTATTAACTTGGTCTAAACAAGCTTCCAATGAACATGGCATCCATGAAAGAGAAAAATAAAAGAACAAAAGGACAGTTGAATTACTGAGGAAGACATGACTAAGAAATTGTTAAAATAATAATAATAATAATAATAATAATAATAATAATATGAAGTGATATGAAAAATAGCAAATAAAATTTTAAAACATATACTATATATTTATATAATGTATATGAGGCCTCTAGAACCATAAGAAATGCAAAAATTCACTTTTAATAACTCATTATCACTGTTAATAACTCATTCTCAATTGCCCCCCTTAAAAGTCCAATTGCTCCCCTGTGGGGCATGTGCCCCACATTGGGAACCACTGCCTTAGATAATGTTTCACATCCACAAACAGAACATTGTCTGGGTTGTCTTTCTTTTCCTAAGTTTTGCCTTTAGACAAAACTAAATATGAGAATTCTTGCAGCGGGTGAGCTCCCCAGGCCCAGCCCACCATTTGCTCATCTACGAGACAAAGGAGTCTCACTTCTCAGCAGCATGTGTGACAACAGCTTGGGAATTTTTGTTGAGAATAAGCTCAAGAGGAGTCCACAGAGAAATGTTGTTTCTACAAAACACATTCATCTCAGACTGTGAATGCAAGTCTGATACTGAGTTGAGGGAGGTGATTTCTCACTCTGATCTTTGTTGGCAAGTCTACTTGTGCAGTTTTCTGTCAATATGGGAGCCACCAGAGACAGCCTATCACACATTCACAGAAAGAATAAGTTTAGAGAGGAAGATCAGAGAAAATGGAAATGAGAACACAAGGGCCAACCTTTAAGCCATGGCCTTGGGAAGGCTGTCGTGATGGGGGAGAAAGATGTAGGCTATCTGACTAGTAACTGATAGGGCAGAAAGCAACTAGCAAATGGTGGAACAGAACTGGACTGCAGCATGTGGGCCGGGGGTAACCTGATCTGCATTCATATTCCATTTCTACCGCCTTTTAGCTATTTGACTTTGGGCAAATAAATTATTTGAGTCTCAGTAACTTCATCTGCTAAATGGGTATTACTTATTCTGTTTGAACTGCTTCCAAGGTAACCAAATAGCCCCACTGATGGAGTTATTAAAGTCCAGTACTCTAGCTCTAAATGTGGAAGAAAAAACATTTACACAAAACCACCATTTCAATCCCTAATGAAATAACTTGTTCAAGTAAAATTATTCATAGATGATATAGGACTTAGGTCATGAGTTCTTAATTTGGGTGAGTGTGGGGGTGGAGGGGAGGTGTCCCATGAACAATTAGGGAAGATGCATGGAGAGAAGAGAGTGAATGCTTAAAGATGTATGCAGCAATTTGTTTGCACTAACTTCTAACTGAAATTTTGCATCTCCTTAAATCACAAATGTATGTAGTACAGTAGTATTAATAGTAGTAACATGCACTACTCCGTTTGGCTCAGTAGATAGAGCACTGGCCTGTGGACCAAAGTGTCCCGGGTTTGATTCTGGTCAAGGGCACATACCTTGGTTGCAGGCCCCCAGCCCGGACCCTGGTCAGGGCTCATGCAGGAGGAAACCAATCAATGTGTTTATCTCACAACAATGTTTCTCTCTTCCACACTCTCTAAAAATCAATGGAAAAATATCCTCGGGTGAGGATTAACAACAACAAAAAAATAATGTAGTAGTAACACTAGTACCTATGATTTTGTCATAGTGTAAATCATAGATATTTAAAAATATATAAAATGATAACGTTATATTTGTTGCAAATGTCTTGAAATACCATTTACTCTACAATTATTCATCAATTCTGAGTGTTACAAAATTACAGTAGTCATTATACCTGCCACCAGTTCTTGTTATTTAATTTGTAATAAAGTAGGGCGTATTTCTC